TATATATATATAGTGTAATTCGTATTAAATAATATATTTCGATGTTAACTTCAAAAAATGTTGATTGAAACGAATTCTTTGTCATTTTGTATTTGTGAGCTTAATATTTTGCGATATCAAGTTGATTCGGGCTATAGAGGATTAAATAATAAAAGGCACGAAAAGCAGGAAAGATTTGGCTCGCAAGAAGAGTATAATATAACCGTCGTGCCATTGTTAATGTTGTAAACGCGTATCCGACGGCATTGCGAGCCAAATCAAAGTCGATTAGCTTTAAAACAACAATTCAAATCTTTTACGATCGTGATACGAACATCCACTTTCGTCAAACGAAACAAATCGAGTTCATTTTGCTCGGTTTTTCTGGTCGTAAGCAGAAAAAGAGGCCCCGAGATTTATATATTAGATATTATACAGAGTGTCTACAAATAATATCAACTATTTCATATGTATGGTTTTCCTAACTTATATAACTGTACATTGCGTTTTTATTAAATATGACAAATAATTGATTATTGCATAACATTCAAGATAATATTATACAAGATCTTTACAAATAATGTATACAATTTTACTTTCCTAATAATTTACTATTACAATTAGAAAATCAATTAGTAAACTATTATTAAAATGAATAAAAAAAAACTACTATACATTATTGTTGTTTCTGTTAAATATGATAAATAATAATCAATACAACACCCTGTATAATATCTTCATTATCAAATTATTTCTAAGATCGAATCCGATCGTTTTTCACAAATTTCATTCATTGTTGTTGTTGTTCTTGTTACTATTCTTCTTCTTCCTCCTCTTCTTCTTCTTCTTCTTCTTCTCCTTCTCCTTCTTCTCTCCGTTATAACTCTGGTATACTAAAGCTCGAAACCGAAGAAAGAGAAATATAGAGAGAAAATATTCTCGAGATTCGTCTGCGTTGTCCTTAAAGTGTGCCTTTGCTTGTATACACGAACCGTACTGTTAAAAATGCTGTAAAAAAAAAAAGAAAAAAAAACAAAGAAGATGATATATTCCTTTATACACTCGACATCACGCACACGCACCCGCACACACACTTATACATAAAAAAGAAAGCATACTAATTGTTAGTTATCGATGGCGTTCGTTAGAAACTATATATTAAGAGATAATGAAATAAAATAACGATTTATAGATACAGAAAGTTTGATTCGTTGATAATGGCCTACCGTAAATGATTTTTAATCAGTTTCGATTATATTAACATAGAAATTGAAATGAACATATTGAAGAAGAGAAAGATAAATAGAACTTAGAAATATTGGCCAATAGTATACCAGAGTTTATCGAATTTTTCATTGAAATTCTATCATTTAAATAGCGAAAATGTAAAATAAGAAAGTTTAGGGTGTTCCATTCATGATAACACGAGTTTGTCTCTACTTTAACTTGAAAACATTATACCATATATATGTAAGAGTGTTGAATCAACGTCATGATTAGACGATAAAAAATTAGTTTAATCGCAAAGCGAATTTGTAGTATTATTAATTATTACGAATGCATAAATACTACCTAACGATGAAACGCACACGAACGCTTCCATTTTGATCGATAATACATACTACTTTAAATAAATACAAACATACATATTTCGATATTACATATACATGCATATTTGAAAATAGTCTGTTGTCTCGCAGCTCGATGATATCAAGCTGCAATATTTTATACCGAGATCTTTTTTATCTGACGTGTTGCCACTTGGAATACCCTTCGCTTATGTATAATGTTCAAAAATAAAAAAGACATAATACGAGATATCTTGGTAACTTAGAGGTAACTTAGGCATCTATGATAGAAAAATCAGAAGAGATGCATAAATACGTTATCGATAATAACGAAACAAGATTTACTTATATACATAAATATATGCGTATTTAACGTATTCGTTTTCAATCTATTCAAAATAAGTAAGAGAAAAAAACTAAAAGAAAGAAAAAAGGAAAGCAAAAGGTTTTATCTCAATTACGATCGTTGGATGTACGCGCGTTCCTTTTTGCGAATCGTTTTACAATTAAACGCGCAAGGAAAAAAGAAACAAGAAAGAGAAAGAGAGAGAGAGAGAGAGAGAGAGAGAGAGAGAGAGAACAAAATCAAACGAGACGCTAACTCGAAAACAAAAAAATTAGAAAAGTAAAACAAAAAGAAGAAAAAAGAGAATTTAGTGTAATTAAATGTATCGATGTTTGAAATTTTCTTTGATTATTCGTAAATATCGTAGGAAAGTGCATATACATATATATTGATTATTTGTTCAATTTCGGCCAATTTTTGTTCGCGATTCGTTCCGGGGCCGATTCAACGCTACCCTATTCGATTTCAACCCTCTAAAACGATCCTCGGATTCGGAACCAAAGCTCTTTCGGCCGTTGGTAAACGTCACCGAGAGCTCCGCTAGTTTTAATTATACAAAAAGGGAAAAAGAGAGAGAGAGAGAGAGAGAGAGAGAGAGAGAGATAGCTGTTTATAGAATTAAAGTTATTACACAATTATGTTCATTAAATTGTACTTATAAAAAGAAAGAAAGAAATAGAGTGGCGGTAACGACGACGATTACGACGAAGTTGATAACGTTGATGATGATGATGATGATGATGATGATGATGATGATGATGATAATAATAATAATAATAATAATAATAATAATAATAATAATACTATTGTTAATAAATAAACAATAATAATATCATTAAAAAATATAATAATACTAACACTGACATGATTACCGAGAAACCAAAAAATACTACAAGTAATAATAATAATAATAAGAATAAGAATAACATAAGAAATATAAATTATAAGATAAAAAAAGGCGACAAAATAAAAAATGAGGGCAGGTTTCAGCGTAGTTGTAATATACAAAATATCCACATTTATAGGATTACGTCCTTCTGTAAAATAATTCAAAAATCCAAACTTATGGTAAAGATGATTATAATGCGAATATTCGTAAATGTGGAGGAACAAGAAAAATAATTCTTATTATACGATCACAGACAATATATTGTAAAAGGGACTTCTCGTAATTC